GTGTGTGTGTGTGTGTGTGTGTGTGTGTGTGTGTGTGTGTGTGTGTGTACATACATAAATAAAGGTTTTTGTAAACCTTCAACTGATACATAATTGTGAATTATTATTAACAATCTCAGCATCTTGGAGGTGGAATACTTTTGTTGTTCAATTGTTTGTGACTCCTCATGACCCCATTTGGGGTTTTCTTGGCAAAAATACTAAAGTGGTTTGTCATTTCCTTCTCCAGCTCATTTTTATGGATGAGGAACTGAGGCAAACAGGACAAACTAACTTGCCCAGCTAGTAAGTGTCTAAGGCAAGATTTGAACTCATGAAAATGAATCTTCCTGATTCTTAGCCCAGTGCTCTATCCACTACACCACCTAGCTGCCCTAAACAAGTAGGTGCATGTTTTGCTATTGAGAAGACATCTAGTCTAGTCTCTTTCCCAAAGCAGGAATGCCCTGTCTATCCCTGAGAAAGTCAGACAGCCTCTGTTTGAACATTGGTAGTTATTATTTCAGAATTTCTCATAAAACAGGCAAGGAGATCAAAGACAAAAACAAAGGTCCCATACACAATAAAATATTAATAGCAACTACTATGATACCATGTGGTAGTAAAGATCTGGAAACAAAATGCCCATAAATTGAGGGATTAACCATTCCAGTGTATAAGCTGTGATACGTGAATGTAATACATGGAATAATTCTGTGCTATAAGAAAAGATGAATATGATGAATACAGAAAAGCATGGGGAAACACACAAAATGAAGACCAGAATTAGGAAAACAATATACATAATAATTATAATAATATAAAGGTAAAGAACAGCAACGAAACTGAAATCAAATGATGTGAAAATATTATAACTAAGTGTGGACCCTAATAAGCGAAATGAGAAGGCACCTCTCTCCCCATTCTTCACTGAGCTGATGGAATGAACTTCTTTACTGTTATATGAGATGGCTCTCTGGGAAGGGGAAGAAAAAAGGATCATAGCATCATATATCTAAAGTTGGAAAAGAGGATATTAGCGCAATCATCTAATCCAACTTCCTCAACTTTACAGCTGAGAAAACTGAGGCCAAGA